GAAAATATGATTTTGTGAACTAGTATCATTGGTGTAAAGTATTAGGGCTAACATAGAAGGGCAGTCGACGGCAAAAAAAAAAAAAGGTTACACAGGTAAGTGCTATATTTCTTGTTTTTCATATCTATTATTTATTTATTATTATACAAGTTAACTACAAATGTAAAAATTATAAACTTTTAGGCTAGATAAAGGTAAATTAGTTAATATAGGTAAAAATAACGATAATAATAATAAATTTTTTCTACGAGGCACACGTACACTCGCTGTGACAAAAAGCTCGCGAGTAGCATGAGCTTAATGTAACTTCATTGGTGTAATATTAGCTTCATGTTACCTCAAAGCACAAAACTTTTTATGGCGGAAATTTTAAAAATCACGGTTCAAAGGGCAATAAAACAATAAATCTAATTAGAAACAGATGTATAATGTTAAGAAGTTTTAAATTATTTAGTGTAAACAAATGTAGCTTCCTGCTACAATTTGAAGTAATTCTAAAAAGAAAAATGGTAATGTTTTTTTATGATGGTTACGAGGTCGGTCAAGTTGAGCTAGTCTGTATTGAGTTAGAATAGAACAAATAACCGATAAAATATGAAAATTTATCGAAAAAAAAATTGGAAATTTGTTTCGGAGGTCTTGAAATTGCGCAAAAGAAATTTGAGAATTTTCAGATGGAGAAAAGTATTTTTAATCTTAACATAGAAATCACTTTACACTCAGACCAGTTATCACTCTGACTCCATATATTAAAGTAAAAACTCTTTCCCAAAATACTTTAAAATTCAGATTTTTTTCTTTACAAAATAATTATAATATTTACTAAAAGCTTGCCAAATTCCGTGAATATACATAAAGCATATTAGGAGATATATTATGGAAACTCTAAAGGTTAAGTTGGGGTCACGTGACTAATTCGATTTGACCTAGCCTGTACAGAGAGAGTCCATCTCATGTACCATGCACAATGTAATTGAATGATTCCACTGACTGGTCATTGTTTCGTCAGATTAACGTCGGTGACTGGTTCGATGACTAGGCTATCATCTGCTTTGCCAAAATGATGATCACGAATTGAAATCAGTTGTGGCCTCTGCAGCTCATCCTAGTGATACAAATGATAATCTTGCCCAGGATATCAGGCTCTGGGAGAACACAACGGTGCACCCAAAAAACTGGACCAGGTGTACAATGACCTAAGGAGTATTCAAAGCACTAGCATTGAAGTGGAGCATGCATTCTCAGCATGTGCACTTATTGTTACCAAACTACAAGCTCAAATGAGTGATGCCTTGCTTGATGCCCTAACTTTTCTGAAACGTATTATTGGATGGAACAGCAGAATAGAGTATCGACTTCAATAAAGGACAAATCAAAATCCATCCTCACATTCTCTGCGGTGGTTGAAATCAATTGAACTCTTTGTGCAAGACTGTCTACTGTTAGTAAAAGAAAACTTGTTTACCATGTATATCTGACCTGATATGTTCGATAGGAATATATTTGAACGGAATTTAAATTCTGGATGAAAAATCTTAATTGATTCTGGCTCTTGAATTTGTACTCTCAATTTCAGTTCTCGAGCAAAGGATTGGTACTTAGTTAGTCCTAGATTGAGTCACAAGAAGAGGGGTTTGAGACTGTAGTTTCTTGACATCTTTACAGATAGATCCTTAGATCCCAGGTCGTTGGCTTAGTAGTGGGTATAGCACAGGTAATTGTTTCATTTAATTTCTTCATGGTGTGATCTTGTGATGGCAATTTAGAACAAGATTTTGCTATTATATCACATGCCAAGGTTGATAGGATAGGATATTTCTTTGGTTATTGGCACTGACTTTCGGTGATGCTCAAATAATGGTACCAGCAACCTGGTACTGCCGGTACTACTGCAAATCCTGGTAGGATGTCTGCTGTCAATACTGAGAAGAGAGAACATAAAAGTCACACATCTGAATTCAAACTGAAAGTTTCTCAGTATGTGGAAGAACACGGCAATAGAAAGGCTGGTCGTATATATGAAGTGGACGAAGAATCTGTGCAAGAGTGGCAGAAACAATGGCCAAAATTAAAAGAAATATCAAAACCTAAACAAGGTGTGAGGGGTGGATGTGCAAAATGGCCAACTTTGGAAGAAGATCTGAACCCTGGGGTTATATCACAGAGAAATGTGGGCTGTTCAGTATCCACGACCCTGATATGCCTTCGAGCTCAGGAGGACGAAAGCAATGACGATGTGGATTGCAACACACTTGCACTTGCCAGCTTAGAGCTGCTTCAGCTGTTTCACAGTGACATAGAAAATGAGGACTTTGATGGCTTTACAGAAGATGATTCACCTTTACCTTTGATTTAAATAAAACACTGCCAGATTGTGGATGTACATTCATATATTTTCACTTGAAAAATGGAATTTAATTTCTTTCTGTTGCTATACATTGTATGGGTAAAACTGTACTTACTCAGGCAGAAACTGTTTATTATAGTCATTTAATTATTTCATATCAAATTAGATTTGTGCATGTAACATGTGCAAAGAATTGTTATTAAAGATATTGTTGCGTCATCGAGATCACGTGACTATTCTCACGCCCTCTAGTTTCTAGAACT